GTATTCCTGCTTGTTGAACATGTGGAATTTATATTACTGACTGTTCATCTACGAGGATGGTGACATTCACACTCTGTCACTGTAGCTCTGAGGAGACATTATAACATTAATCCCTTTTATTGATTCAGTGCGACTTCACAGTGTTGTTGGGAAGAGATAAGATTTAGTTTTTTACATTTACACTATCAACACCTTTGCACTTATCATAACACAGAGGCACCGTCAGCTCTGTCTTTCTCAGATTTACATAATATAAAAATATCTTATGAGGAAAATGCGTTTCTACATCTATTTTAGACTCTCTGCTTTGTATCGTACTTAGATTTGTTTTTTTTGAGTTCATCACTTTTTTTTGTATTTTCTATTCTGCCTTTCTGAGCTATTTTGTTTTTCTGATATAGTGCTTATGTTACTATAGTGCTTATGTTACTATAGAGCTTATGTTACTATAGTGCTTATGTTACTATAGAGCTTATGTTACTATAGAGCTTATGTTACTATAGTGCTTATGTTACTATAGAGCTTATGTTACTATAGTGCTTATGTTACTATAGAGCTTATGTTACTATAGTGCTTATGTTACTATAGAGCTTATGTTACTATAGTGCTTATGTTACTATAGAGCTTATGTTACTATAGTGCTTATGTTACTATAGAGCTTATGTTACTATAGCGCTTATGTTACTATAGAGCTTATGTTACTATAGCGCTTATGTTACTATAGAGCTTATGTTACTATAGTGCTTATGTTACTATAGAGCTTATGTTACTATAGTGCTTATGTTACTATAGAGCTTATGTTACTATAGTGCTTATGTTACTATAGTGCTTATTTTACTATGTGATTGACTGTTGTTGTAATTCAAGCCCTGAGTGTAGAGCAGGTAAGATATAAAGTTGCATCCTAAATTCCTTGCTCATGCAGAGTGTTTAGTTTATGACTTTTTCACCTGGTCATTTCTTGATGAACAGATGGTCTTTTAGGGTTGACCAAGCTGGTACCTTGACTCTGTTCTCTGCAAGATGTTGCAAAAAACAAAATCATATGGAGACAATATTGGACACAAAATATAACAATTTAGTTAAATGTAGCATTAACTCATAGGTCTTGCTAAAGTAAACCTTGTATTCTGATTCATCACAGCAGCAGTTCAGTTGGATGATGTCAGTAACTGCAGCAAGTGTCTTGCTGACTGAATAATTACATCTTGCATAATCTGAAACAAACACATAAAGACAGAAACAATTTATAAATTAACGCTTGATAAAATCTAAGAATTAATCATTTATTAGATACCAATATGAATATGTCTACCATAAAACTTGTGTGGAGCGAAGTTACATTCAATCAAGATGGTCTGGCATGCTACAACTTTGTAGTTGTTAAGTTCTGGCTACAAGTATACATACCCATCTTGTACATGTTCTTTAACATTATTATTATTATTATTATTATTATTATTATTATTATTATTATTATTATTATCATCAAAATCATCATCATCATCATCATCATCATCCTACCCAATTATCTGTTTCTTTTAATCAGAGTATGCTGTTTTAATGACTTTACAATATCATTTACATTGTGTTCCTTACATTTTCCCCAATTGTATGTTATATTAATCCTATATTTCCGTTTTAATATTTCTAATGTTTGCCTTGTTTTCTTCACTGTCTGGTCTGCCTCTGTCTCACCTTTATGGATGCATTTACACCTAAATGTCCCCAACAAAGGATGTTTTAATTCACCACTATTCCAGTGAAACACGAGTCTCCCACCTTCCTGCTACCGGTCTCGAGTTTTTGTTCACACACCAACTTCATACTGACGGACAGATCACTGCCCTTTTGCCGCCTTGTCTGACCGTGTTTTGTGGTTTTGGTTCACTTCGCCTCACTCTTCCCCATTCTTGTCATTAAATCAGGCCGTTCTGCAACCATGACAGCCATTCAATCTATGGCTTTATTCATGGTGTATTTTACCACTTCACCAAAGGCCGTTTTCGTTTACAACATTATATTTGCAGTGTTCGTCTATCTATCAATATCTGCGGAGTATTTTTTAACGAGTATCCTATTTTCTAAAGCACAGCATGTAAAGGGTAGCTCGGTTAGCAGGATGCTAGCATGTAGCGCTTAGTGAGACACGCCTCAGACGAGTTGAGCAAAGACCCCGTCTGTGTACTTTATACGTGAGCAACGGATTTAAATAAAATTACGTGTGGAGGTAAGCATCAACGACACAGCTCTCAGTTCTCACTCCTTCTTTATTCGTCTCCAACATCAACTGCGCATATCGCGCCACAAAACACAGGAACACACTTCCTCTACACTGGGTGTGAGTGGAGCCCTCTAGTGGTCCACCACACATGCCCCCCCCCCCCCCCCCCGAACACCCAGCAGAACTAGTCCAGGACCCGGGGCTTAAGCAAACGGCCGGAGCGGCTGAACTGGGGGGTGGGGAACTGACAGAGGGCAACCCAGCCCGGGAGCGAGGCTGGCACTGGCGGTCAGAAAAAGCTGAAGACGACTCGGACTCCGTTGATTTCGGGTCGCTCCTGGGGAAAAAACAGAATCCATCAGCCCGGTGGCAGGTGGGCGGCCGCGGCGAGGGGCCTGGGCCGGGACCACCTGATCCTCTTGCATAACATGTGCAGGCTTAAGTCTGTCAACAGAGACAACTTCCTGCCGACCGCCAAAGTCCAAAACGAAATGTTTGTTGCCTGGTTTAAGAACCCTGTATGGCCCGTCATATGGTGGACGCAGCGGAGTCCTATGGGCATCGTGCCTGACGAAAACGAAACGAGCAGAGTCCAATGAACTCGGAACAAAGGTGTCAGGCAGGCAGTGGTGCACAGGACCAGGAACAGGAAATGAGTTTCTTGGGGGGCGAAAAGGCAACAAAGAGGTATCGAAACATGGGGGGGGGCTCTCAGGTAAGAATTCCCCGGGGACCCGGAGAGGCTGGCCGAGGACCAGTTCAGCCGGGGAAACCCCGAGGTCTTCTTTAACCGCGCTACGCAAACCCAGCAAAACCCACGGAAGACGTTCGACCCAGTCGCCACTTGTCAAGGAAGCACGGAGCGCGGCCTTAAGTGACCGGTGAAACCGTTCGCACATCCCATTAGCTTGCGGGTGGTATGCTGTGGTGCGGTGGACCTTGACTCCCAGGCCGTCAGCCATAGCAGACCAAAGCTCGGAAACAAACTGGGGCCCCTGTCCGAGGTAATGTCAGCAGGGGGGCCGAAACGTGAAACCCACGTTGACAAAATGCCCTGGCCACCGTCGCTGCTGTCGTGGACGCCAGGGGTACCGCCTCCGGCCACCTGGTTGTGCGGTCCACTACAGTCAAAAGGTGCGTGAAACTCTGTGACTGCGGCAAGGGACCAACCAGGTCCACATGAACGTGATCGAAACGCCTACCCGGGACACGGAAAGGCTCGAGGGGTGCCTGTGTGTGCCGGTGGATTTTCGAGCGTTGGCATGGGATACAAACCGCCGCCCATTCTTTCACCGTCTTGCGAAGGCCCGGCCAAACAAACCTGGCGCTGACCAGCTTGACCGAGGCCCGGACGCCGGGATGAGAGAGGGCATGCACCGAGTCAAAAACACGACGACGCCACGAAAGGGGAACCACCGGGCGGGGGCGGCCGGTGGAAACGTCGCAAAGAAGGCGCGGACCGCCGTCCCACACCGGGGTGTCCTCCAGCACGAGGCCCGTTTTTGTTGACTGAAGGGCAAGGACGTCCGGGTCAGCACGTTGCTCGGCGGCCATGGCAGCGTAGTCGATGCCGACATACACCGGAGAAACCAACACACGTGAGAGACAGTCAGCGACGTGATTGGACTTACCAGCCACATGCTGAATGTCTGTGGTAAACTCAGAAATGGCCGCCAACTGGCGCTGCTGGCGTGCGCTCCATGGGTCAGAGACCTTGGACATCGCAAACGTCAAAGGTTTGTGGTCAACGTACGCAGCAAAGTTGCGACCCTCGAGGAAAAAACGAAAATGCCGTGTTGCGAGGTGCAGGGCCAGCAACTCCCTGTCAAAAACACTGTACTTGCGTTCAGCATCCCGGAGTGTACGACTGAAAAAGGCGAGCGGTTGCCAGAGACCTGAAACCCGCTGTTCCAACACTCCGCCCACTGCCACGTCCGAGGCGTCGGTGGTTCAACGCGATCTCCGCCGACGGAAGCGGGTGGGCCAGCAGGGCGGCGTCAGCCAGCGCAGACTTGGCTGCGGAAAACGCACGGACGCGTTCAGGCAGCCAGTCAACCGGATCTTTGGCTGTTTTACCTTTTAAGGCAGCATAGAGTGGCTGTAGCAGGTGGGCAGCTCTGGGGAGAAAGCGGTTGTAAAAATTTATCATCCCCAAGAACTCCTGCAACGCTTTAACCGACGTGGGACGCGGGAAAGCCGAAACGGCCTGGACTCTGTCGGGCAACGGAACCACACCTTCAGCGGAAATGCGGTGCCCGAGGAAATCCAGAACAGGCAACCCAAACTGGCACTTGGAAGGGTTGATGATCAGGCCGTGCGCTTCCAAACGCTGGAAAACCTGGCGCAGATGGGACTATATTGGCCACCAATATATCGTCCAGATAAACAAAAACGAACGGCAGCCCACGCAAAACGGAGTCCATCAGCCGCTGAAAGGTCTGGGCGGCACCTTTCAGGCCAAACGGCATGCGCAAAAACTCGAACAAGCCGAAGGGGGTAATGACAGCGGTTTTAGGAACGTCTTCGGGGCGCACGGGAACCTGGTGATACCCCCGCACCAAGTCAATTTTAGAAAAAATCGACGTTCCGGCGAGATTGGCAGAAAAATCCTGAATGTGGGGGATGGGGTAACGGTCATTCTCCGTGGCATTATTTAAACGGCGGAAATCTCCGCATGGCCGCCACCGACCGTCCGATTTGGGCACCATGTGAAGCGGAGAGGCCCATGCACTGTTCGAACGCTGTACAATGCCAAGGCGCTCCATGGCTGCAAACTCTTCGCGGGGTCGAGGCGGCGCGCAAGCGCGAACACCGGGGGCCCGACCGTGGGAATATAATGCTCAACCCCATGCTTCGTTACCGTGCTAGAGAAATTAGGGACAGACAGCGATGGAAACTCTAAAAGCAAACGCTGAAAAGCATCCCCGGAGGTCACTACATTAGCCCGAATCAGGGGCTCGGCGGCCCGAGTAAAACAGGGTAGCGAAGAAAACGAGAGAGCATCGATTAAACGTCTGTTAGCGACATCGACAAGTAGTCCATGAGCACACAGGAAATCAGCACCCAAAATAGGTACAGAGCTAGCAGCAACAACAAAGTTCCACTGGAAATCCCGGCCATGAAAACAAACAGTCACCAACCTTTCCCCAAACGTTTTGATGGGAGAGCCGTTAGCTGCAATGAGCTGCGGCCCACAGTTCGCTGCTAGTCCGTCGGCAGCGGTAGGGGGAAGGAGGCTCTTCTGGGAGCCGGAGTCCACGAGAAAACGTCTCCCGGAGCGCGAGTCCTCTATGAAGAGCAGCCTTTCTGTATTGCCAGCGGTCGCGGCTGCTACGGCGCGCTGGCGGGTCCGTTTCCCTGGGCCGTGAAAGCGCAAGGCGGCAGGCAGCGACGCGCTCTGTCGCCAAAACGCTGATGGTAGAAACAGATGCTCTTTCCGCGGTGCCGGCGTGTAGCAATCCCTGCCGTCAGCAAGGGGGCGGATGCTCCGGGGGAGGCAGGTGGAGGCGTGGAAGGTGCCGCCGGCGTGTCCGTAGCCAGGGCGTGAACGTCGAAAGTGCGGCTAGCCAGGAGAATGCGATCCGCTTCTTCAGCCAGGGAGCGATAATCCTTCGCAGGCAGAAGCGGAGAGTTCGCGAGAACAGCTCTCACGGCGGCCGGTAGTTGGCGAAGGAAGAGGTGCACGAAGAGGAAACCACCGTCATCCGGCCCGAGCAACGATAGCATGTTCTCCATGAGCTCGAGCGCGGTACCGCCACCCAGCCTGACAGGTTGAGGAGCTTTTCGGCTCGTTCGGTGTCGGAGAGGGCATAGCGCCGAAGAAGCAGCTCTTTGAGGGCGGCGTATTTCCCTTGGGCGGGTGGGTCCCGGAGGAGCGCCATCACGCGACGGGTGGCCAGCGGGTCGAGCGAGGCACCACATGGTGATACTTCGTGTCGTCAGCCGAGATGCCGCGAAGGGCGAACTGAGCCTCCACGTGTACGAACCATGACGGGGGGTCATGGAGCCAAAAGTCCGGCAGTTTCAGCGCCACAGCCAACGTAGCTGCAACAGGAGGCGGAGGTCCGGCGGCCGCTGATGCATCCATAGCGGAGTGTGCGTTATCTACGGCCCTTTGCATGCTCGAGTCAGGGGTCACCAATGTGGAGGTAAGCATCAACGACACAGCTCTCAGTTCTCACTCCTTTATTCGTCTCCAACATCAACTGCGCATATCGCGCCACAAAACACAGGAACACACTTCCTCTACACTGGGCGTGAGTGGAGCCTCTAGTGGTCCACCACAAACGTTTCAAAAGACAAACTCCCCTGAGGCGTCCGTCTGCAGAACGAAGGGCAAGCTATAGTCAGGATATCCCAGCACTGGAGCGCTTGTCAGCCTTTCTTTAGGGTCTTAAATGCCTTCTCGCATTCATCTGTCCACAAAAAGGGTGGGTCGGTAGCCAGACTTTTCTTTCCCCTCTCCTTTTCTTTCTGGGGTCACCAGCAGTTAGGCGGTACAGGGGAGCAGCTAGGGTAGAGTACCCACTTACATACCGCCTATAGTATCCAGCAATCCCAGGAATTGCAACACTTCTTTGCGATTTGTGGGCCTCACCCAGTTTTCCACCTTGCTGATCTTCTCTGGGTCTGTCCGGATCCCCTCAGCAGACACTAAGTGACCCAAATACTGAACCTCCTTTCTCACTAGGTGGCATTTAGAAGGCTTTAACTTCAAGCCATGCTCCCGAAGCTGATCGAACACCAGCTGCAGTCTTTCCAGATGCTCATCAAAGGTTTTGGAGAATATGATGAGATCATCAAAATAGATTAGGAGGTGGGTGAAGTTTAGGTCGCCAAAGCAGCAGGTCATGAGTCTCTGAAAGGTGGAGGGAGCATTCTGCAGTCCAAAGGGCATACGATTTGCTTCAAACAGCCCCATAGGGGTGCTGAATGCCGTCTTGTGTTTGTCGTGCTCCGCCACCTCTACCTGCCAATAACCAGAAGTGAGGTCAAGGGTGGAGAAGTATCTTGCCTGCCCTAGAGCCTCCAGGGCTTCCTCTATTCTGGGGAGAGCAAAAGCATCTCTCATGCTACAGGAGTTCAGTTTCCTGTAGTCAATACACAGCCTTAGTGATCCATCTTTCTTGGTTACGATCACGACAGGTGAAGCATATGGACTTTTGCTGGGCCTGATAACTCCTGTTGCCTCCATTTCTGTCAGTAACCTTCTCACGTCCTGCCACTGTGATGGGGGGATCTTACGGTAAGGCAGTCGAAATGGCTTAGAGTCGACCAGAGGGATTTCATGTTGCACAGTCTTTGTATGGCCATAATCCAGGGGGTGCTGTGAGAACACACCCATGTTCCTTTCCACAAGCTCTTTAAGAAGGGAACGCTGGTGCTCGTTTTCAACATCTGCTCCACTTAAATCCACTTCCTGGCTTGCCACAATGTGGTCCATACCCAGGCATGCTCCTCTGCCTCCGCTAATGTGATGACTGCCCCGCACCCTGTCTGAAAAGTCCACAATACTTTCCACCAGAGATGCCTTGGCCAGATGCGTGTGAGGCTTGATAGTGATAGCATGCTGGGAGAGGTTCATCACTCTTACCGGGGCACATCCTTTCTTTACATCAGCAAGAACTCTGGCGACCAGGATGTCTTGGCTGAGCCGCAGGGAGGGGTGGCCTTCAATTAGGGCTGTATAAGTCTTTCTTTGTGGTCCAGCTTTTATTTTGCACATTAAATCCATCTCTTTCCCTGCTTGAATGTGCACTTATGACCAGTATAAACAACAGGGCCCACTGTGTCATCCATATCACACTGTTCCGTGCTCTCATCTCTAGCAGGGAGGTGTGCCACTCCGGATGAGTCTCCTTGACCTGGAGGAGGAACTGCTGGCCGTAGGTTGCCTGGAGGTGACTTCTGGAGGCACGGAGGACATTAGTTCCCACAAGCAGAGGAACAGAGGAGCGGTACTCTGTGTTAGTGACAACAAAGCAGGCACACCCTTAAACTCTCTCCCCAACAATTTTAGGTTGATGCGTAGCACACCATGGTAGGTGACACTCTGGCCCCTGCACCTTCTATGGGTATCTTAGAAGGCTGCAGTTTTTGTTTATGGAGGGTGGGGTGGCTGCGCCAGTACTGGTGCGTAATACTGGTTATCTGGGAGCCAGAGTCGATGAGTGCCCTGCACTTCATTCCGTTGACTTCCACCTCCCCCTCGCTCCTGGGACCAACTAGGGGAGTGCTCTCCCTCCGTCACCTTTGTTCACCTGCAGTGTGGGGACTTGCTGCTCGCCATGGTTGCCCCGGCGACCATGGGCTTTATCTGTTTAAAGGCTGAGCTGAGTAAGTGTTTCCCTCCATGGGGGTCACAGGCTGAGGATCGTGTGCCCACGTCTGTTCAGGCCCGGGAGCACTGCTCTGCAAACCCGGGCTATGTGTCCTTGCTTCCCACACCGGTAGCATGTGACCACTGACATTGGGTTGTAGCCCCAGGGGTGGTCGGACTCTCAGTGGAGTGGCAGAGGATGGAGCATAAATTCTCGATTCAAGGTGGGTCAACTTGGCCATCTGCTCCTCCTGGCTCAGTGCTAATTTCTTGACCATCTCTGCTAGCTCTGACCACTCTGAGGGATGTTTAGCCTTTTCTGCCTTCACATTCACACTACACTCTGATGCCACTTGTACCTGGCATAAGTTTTCTTTGATTTGTTTTGAGGCTGGAATCTCTTTGTTTCTTTTGCTAAATTTCGGAGCTCAGCCTGCAGCTCACGGAAACTCAAAAGCCGGGGCTTCATTGGCGAGATCCTCGCATACACATCCCCATCATTATCCCCGTATGAACTGCCGGGTGAGTTTACTGTCACGGTCAGGAAAAGGCTTGCCTCCTCTTTGGTTTTCTTCCACAGCTCGCAGTGTTGCCTCCAGTGCTATAGCATATGAACAGGCAGACTCCCCAGACCTCTGACACGCTCATAGAAGTCCGCTAGTAGATCTGAGGAGCTCTGTGTGTCGCCGTACTCTGCTCTCAGTTCTTCGAATGCCCTCTCAGGTGTTTGGTCATGGAGAGGTAGATTTCAGGACCAGCTTTCGGGCTTCACCAGTTAGGTGACGCACCACCGTGGAAAAGCGGAGGTGAATGGGGAGCTCTATTGCCTCAAGTAGATACTGCATGTCACGAATCCAGTCCTCTACAAGCACCTTGCTGTCAGCACTGCCAGTGAAGGCTTGGACATTTTTCACTTGATGAGTCTGTATAAAACCACCATAGGCAGCTAGTGGGGGGTTAGCGTTGGCTGCAGCCCCGCCAGGACGCTTAAAGATGTATGCACCTGCTGGGGGGGTATGCCAGGGTGTCCACTAACTTGGGGGTCTAAAGCAGAGGTTGGTACGTGCATTGGGGCATGGGTACCGGTGGGGCTATAAAACCTCCATGGGTCATGTTCACCATAGGGGGCATGACAGTGTTGGGGCTTATAGCAGATGAGTGGAGGGGGCTCGAGAGTCATGGACAGCAGCTAGTGGCGTGTGGGGCAAACGGGGCGTCAGCCCATGCTTTGAACTTTCAAGGGTCTGCTCAGCTGCAGAGGATTATTCATTATGCCCACTCCTGCACTGTTAGGGGGCTTGGCATGGCGGCTTGGGGGCAGGTGTGGAATACAGATGGCTGGTGTATGCTTGGGGCTGAATGGAACGGTCATCGTTGGGTAAGGAGTGTTAAGTGATTGGTTGGGGGTGGGATGCTGGGTACTGTGCACGCTGGGTAGTTGGGATATGAGGCAACATGGGGTGCCGGTGTAGCAGTGGGCCCATGGACACTGGCCTGAGGGGAAAAAACAGGGGGCATAGTTATCTGTACATCTGGCCGAACACTGGAGGGGCTGTAGTTAGAAGGCTGTGGTTGGACTGGCTTGTCTGGTTGGCTGTCACTGAACTTGGGCGAATTTTAGATGGGTGTGAGGGCACCTGCATTTGGCCTCCATAGGGTGGCAGTGGTGGGGCATGAGCTGGAGCATGCCAAGATCAGTCTGGGGTGAAGCATGGTTGGTGGTGGGGTCTGTTGTGTGCCCAGCCCAGAGTCCGGTGAGGTCCCTGATTGGGGTGTGATACTGTAACCGCTGGCCAGTGAAGCTGGGGAACTGGGTGACCAGCTTCGACTTCACTGATGACTGTTGGTCCACTGTACTGGCGCTAGCTGTTGCCCTTCATTCAAAAGGTGAGGCTGTGCCCTCTTTGGAGTGTCTGCAACGTCTCTCAACATTTTCACTGTCCTGTATCTCTAATTTAGCTGCACCAGAAAATGTGTGTGGGCTACTTGTAGTATGCTTAACTGTGAGTAAGTACAATATATTTCTAGTAAAATAGAACACAACACAGATGTAT